GACGCACACGCACACCCACGCACACACATACACGCAGACGCACACGCACACACGCGCGCGTGCACTCACGCGCACGCAGACGCACACGCACACACACACGCGCGCGCGCACACACGCACACACACGCACGCACGCACGCACGCACGCACGCACACACACACACACACACACACACACAGACGCGCGCTCACACGCATGGACAAAAACTAACGCAGCTCCGTAAACACATTAATCTTACCTTAATCCCAAGGCTATTTACAAAAAAACCGTAATCGATGTCTATGTGATGTGTGACATTTTTCTCAGTATTTCCGCTCGAAATTCCAGTTACAGTGGGCCATTAATGAGACTTAATATCGTGCAGTGACAGTTAGTATGCGTTTCATCCTGATTATCCACTTCATAATTTTATGAACCGAAAATTTTGGTCACACGCCAAAAGAGGCATTTTCGAAAAAGATGATCTAATTTTATTACGCGTAGGCTAAAATGAAATTGCATATCGGAAAGAATGTACCATCACGAGGTAATACCGCCGTTCACTAGCGCGATGCAATGACAGGCCTGGCATTTTCCGACGCGCATGCGCATTATTAGTGTCGTGGTAATGGCGATTTATTCGATTTGCATTCGCATTAAAAACATATCAACGTTGTAAGGATAATTACGGGGATAGATTAACAGTTCTGCAATTACAACCCATTATACGCCTGCACTGTTCGCAATGTCGATTATTGTCACAGGTTAGCGTGTAGATGTCCCGATAGCACGCATGTTTACAAGCGCCAATGAGTGCTAACGCTAATAAAGGGAGAGAGCTGGTGGTGCATGACAGCACATTCATGATGTCTGCTCGAACGAAGATGCGTCAGAATTAGATGATATCCACCTCGATAATGTGTTATGTCCCTGGTCGTCATATGATCAGTTAAGATTAGTTCAGTTTAGACGCAAGCCGGTTTTTTGTGTGTCAACCTGGCATGGATCTATTTTACCATACAGATATGTAGTCAATCCAACTGGTCTGCATAAATTGCAGGAGAGTAAATGGAGTCGAATTACGATTATCACAGACAATTTGGATATGAAACACGAGACAGGCGGAAGAATCGTGTATGGGGCTATATGTTGCTGTTCAACACACGAGACACACTTTTTCGTGCACTGCTGCACTTGATATCGGATTTTCACCTATGCGTATCATTTCCTCAGTGGTTTATAGAAAGGGTTGGCATACGAATTGCCTAAATTGATGGTTAACTAATGCTGCGACAACGCGTCGTTACCGTAGTCACTAAATAACACACAGCCAGCCAGGGCGCGCACACACATGAATACACACACACACACACACACACACACACACACACACACACACACACACACACACACACACACACACACACACACACACACACACACACACACACACACACACACACACACACACACACACACACAACACACACACACACACACACACACACACACACACACACACACACACACACACACACACACACACACACACACGCATACACGCCCGCACACAGGTACATTGCCACGACAATTCGTAATTGGGAGGAAAGTATAGTGGCACCAAATAAATCCCCGTTTTCACCAAGGAAGCTCTCCAATATTCTGAAGTTTGCTAAATGTAAGCGGAATATGAGTGTCCCATTTGTCGACAACACTATCTGTAATTGTTATACAGATATATACACGCTGTAAACTCGCCTGTCCGTAGCCTAGGTGTGAATGCCGTTTTTGTCTATCATTTATTACAGACAGCAAAATGGCTGCCATTAAGGAACTCCTCTACAGAATTCCACAGAATTTGAAACGAATTGAACGTCTTAGGTATTTCATACATTCGGCGCTGATATCTGATGAATGAAGTGGCTGCGTTGACATTTATTCAATTGAAATATCTTGATGCACCTCGCGTAACAAGAGGGCTAGAGAGCGGATCGTAGAGTTCACGCCAAAATACCAGTGAGTTAACCAGAGCCTGCCGTTGATGTACTGTGTGGAATAAGACAAAGTGTATTTGATAGAGCTATTGCAGCAAAGACAAGCACGTTACGCATTCGACATGTCAATCCCCCTTCTTGCCATTCGGAAACACTTGCGTCTCGGTAACTCAATATACGCGAGTTTGCTTGCAATAACGAGACGGTCATTGTCCGTGAATTCAATTTTGGCATCCCTTTGATACTTACTTTAATTTTCTTACTTTAACTTGTTTACTGGACTCCACGCTCACATATTCTAACATTAATTGGAGATGAAGATTTATAGTGCTAATATTAACAATCGCCGGTAGGTACTAGAGTGGAAATTTTATGTAATTTAAAATCATCAATACTGTTGTCTTTTGATGCAGCTTGAAATGGATATTACATTAATTTGCATTATAAGTTATATCAACGTGTAAGGTGGTACGCAGGGCTTTGTTTATGGTAGGAACGTAACAGATTTATTTTGAGATTCTGCTGTGACGGGATTGGATTGAATTGCCATAGGAGAATGGGAATGATTCTTATAAAGATGTGCTTTTAACACGTATTCATCTCATTCTCGGTGGCGAGATCATGTTGGTATTTTGATGGCACACTGTAGAGGTACACTGCTGCAGAGTGTCAAGTATGTGATCAGTGTGTCTCAACCCTTGGAAGTCGGTTAATTATTATTGAATTAAACTAGAAAGGTCAGTTACTCGGTCGGTCAGTCAACTAGTCGTTTGGACAATCAGCTTGGGGTTGAGTTAGAGAATTGTCACATGAGTATAAAATTTTACGTTAGCTTGCTAGTAAGTTAGCCCGCTGGTGAGCTAGATAGATAGGTAGGTAGATGAATAGATGGATGGATGGATGGATGGATGGATGGAAGGATGGATGGATGGATGGATGGATGGATGGA